GTTAAGGAGTGGCTGATAAGCCAGAAAACCAGATAACAACTCACAGTTGATCATCCAATCGCCATCCATCAAACTAATCGACGTCGAATAAGTCAAATAGATATAATACAACACCAATAACAGGAATATGAAAAATATTTCCACCATAGGGATCATAATATGAGAAAGAGTCAACGTGAACAAACAAGACTATAAAGTTTTGTTGATACTCTAAAATGTTTATGAACCATAAGCGTTTGGTGAACCGCAATCCACCTTGTGAAATAAACACATCTGATAGTGTTGTGCTTGTAGATAAAACAATTACTACAAAACACATCTCCCAGCACTTACTTGATATTCGTAATCTAAAACATCTTGATATAAAATAGGTGTAATCGGAGGATTTCGGTCAGCAACACTTTTGACAACATCGACAACTTTCGACGCGTAATAATTAACTAACTGGGAAGAATCATCAGAGAATCCCATTTTTTGCATGAATTCAACTATTTCTGGATTCGAAATCCTAAAGGAAAGAACACACAGAAACACAGTAAGTTTAGTCTTACCATGTTCTTCGTCAGCGATTTTTAGAAACTGAATTTTTTATCAAAATAGTTATCCAAATCACTGACTGATAACCAGCGTTATTGCAGAAAACGAATTCACGGTTTTAACGTTTATTTTCGAACGAACGGCAGTGTGCAGACGAAACGGAGAAACCTAGTCAGATACACGGTAGAGCATTCATGATTCAGAATGCCTTAAAAATCGTAAAGAAGGCTTGGTTGCCCATTTTAATCTTGCAATCGCTTTGACAGCTAACCACCTCTGAGTGCTCATATCATACTATTTCGTAGAGAACTAATAGATTAAGCAGAATCACCTACAGATGTATCATGTCTTCAGTTCCTATTTGTGACTGTGTGAGAGAAATATGAATTATACAGAAACTCCAGTTGAGACTTTTTCGTTTCACTCATCGGAAGGAGGAGAATAAAATCGATGAGTACAGACAGAAATACTCAGTGTTTCGTGAAAGTGTTGACAGTGAGCTGAAGAAATCATCCTGTACTATGGAAAGCCATCAACTATAGTTCATGATAACAATAATAGTAATAATGGCTTTATGTCAAACAGCAATTCTGATACAGTGTGGAATTTCCAGCAGGTAGTAGAGCAAGTATTAAATCTGCTTCTCTCTCTCTGCACAGTGCAAGTAGAATTATTCAAATAGGGTATTCATATTGGTAATACTGCACGACATAAGACTATAATTGATTGATTGATATAGAAATATCAAGAAAGATTGGAGGAAATACACAATGCAAGGTGTTTAAAATCCGACTTAGTTTCAACTTCTGTGAGATCTATGAAACTAGAATCATGGAAACGAACTAGTTCATGTAAGTTACGATAGTGTCCGAAATTGAAGTAACATCCTCCTAGTGTAGTCGTGTAAGACATTCAGCAAACAAATAAAATAGCACAATTCACTTCTTCTGTTCAGTTGTAACTTATGCCATCAACAGGAATGAAATGTTTCACAATCTATTTATGATATTATACGGAAGGATATCATATCAATAAGTTAGTTAGGATGATACCGTCACATCCGCTTTGATGCATGACAAGTCTTGATCAATAAGCAGTATAGATATGAATCACTAATATTCATGCCTAATTTATCATTCTGATTATGCGTATCTTAAAAGATAAAATGTGTTGATGTTTTATTGAAACTGTTGGCGGTTTCATTAGGGATTTGTGTAACTGAAGACTTCAAATGAAACATTAATGACTCACAATTGCCACCAACAATAACGCCGTTTCATTTTATTCGAAACATGCTGACAAATGATCACAATTATTCACACATTCACATGCAAATCCTTCACTTCAGATTCCCTTACTTCACACCAGTTCAACATGACCTTTATTGAAACAGTTTTATTGAAGGCTGATACAAAATCCTGCATACACTGTTCACGATGTATAACACATTCAGTCTAATTATAAGTCATGAGAACTAATCTGTAAAATGTGAATCACAATGCATTCAGTATTGTTTTTGATGACTAATCATGACTCAGAGATGACTGGACAAGAGTTGTACAGACAAAATGTACGCTTTATATGTACCTTTATTATTTTAATTTCAACTATTTTCCTCAAGAGGTTTTGAAGTGTCTGACGACTGAAACACGAGAATCATTCATTTCAACTTGGCTGAGATTCAAACAAACAAAACTCATAAGTAGAGATCAAAAGTGCTAGATGAGACGAATTCAACCTGTTGACATCCGAAGTAAGAGAAAGTTTTCCGTCAAAATATTCTGTAAATTTCGGGATGTTTTAACATTTCCCCCCAATAAAATGTGACATTGAATATGCGTAAACTCACCAACAGGTGACATATATCCCATTGCCTCCAAGATGAATATAGTTATCATGAAATCGGCTGGTGACTTCTGTAAACAGATTCTTCAAAAACTCAAATGTAGAATCATTGGCTGGATTCAGTGGACCCAATTGTACAGTCGGATCAGAGTCGTAATAACACTTTGTTAGTAAGTCTGGATATGCTTTTCCCCATGACAATGTATGCTCTGCAAGGAAGTATTGTGACAACCAGTGAAGATCACTTTGACAACTTTTAGAAAGAAAATGTTATTTAGATAAAAAATGACATGGCTGTACAACAGTGAACACTCCATACCACTCACCATTTGAAATCAATTTTTATTTCGTTTCCTGTGATTCTACACGAACTGCACTCCTTCACTCAACGATAATCCCTGCGTCTCAAAATACAGTGATCAAGCACTTGAAAGTCTCAGTGACACTTCAAATAATGATTTTCAAGCTATTCTTCATCACGTTTTTTGATTTACTTGACGCAACTGAAAGAGAATAAATGGAACCATAAACCCGCAACGATTTGAAATCAACCGTGGTCTTTTGTTCACAGAGAAGCGATAAAGCCTTTCGTCAAATATGAAACTGTCAGGCAACTCAGCACTAATGTGCTTCATCACATCCCTGAGTTAATATACCTGAGAATATAATATCATGAACAATCTGAATAACAGTTTCAAACCTAGTGCCTCTGTCAAACTCATGGTTCAACGTTCCATTCGCGGCATTATTTTGAGAACACTATCACACTGACTCAAATATTTACATAATATCATTTCATGTAGACACAGTTCGCGGATAATTATAATCATTGCAAATGTCTTCAAACTTATTTACCTGGAGTATCAAATTCTGGAATGATCCGGACTCCACGGAGACGAGCGTATTCCAATAACCTTTTCATGTCTTCAACTCGTATTGGCCATGTTTCAGAGCAAAGGGAAGGACAGAGCGAACTGATGAGCAGTATACACGTCCCTTGGTTGATAGCCGAATGTCACGCTTACGCCAGAGACGGTGTAAGTTAACGAAAGCAGCCCGAGCTTTTTGAATCCGTGCTGAGATTTCGTCACCAATCAATTCTTTGGTGCCGATACAACTTCCCAAATAGGTGAAGTGGTCAACATGTTCTACCACTTCACTCCCTATCACTAAGCTAGGAATTGACGTAGTCAAGTCAGTCCTGTAGCAGCATCTTACATTTTACAGGGGTGAATCGCATGCCAAACATATGAAGACTGCTGCTCAAGGTGTTCAGAAGACTCTGCATTTTCTCAGCATCCTCCCCTAACAGGACTATGTCATCTGCATATTCTAAGTCCATAAGACTATTCCCTGGTAACAAGTCGATTCCTAAGTCGTTAAGTTCAGTTAAGGATACTTCCATTAGCATATCTATGATGAAGTTAAACAGAAAAGGGGAAAGTGGACATCCTTGACGGACACCACTGGTTGTTATCAACTCAGATGACAATTCCCCATAAGCCCTTACATGGCTACGTGAGTTTGAGTAGAGTGCCTTGATTAGTGCAATGTACTGTCTTGGCACTCCCTTCATAGTCAAACATTGCCATAGTACCTCTCGATCCACGGAGTCGAAGGCCGCCTTCAAGTCAAGAAATATGGCAATTGTTGGACGCCTAAAAGTGTGTCTATGTTCTAGGATCTGTCGGAGAGTGAAGATATGATCTATGCACCCTCTACCTGGCCTAAAGCCCGCTTGATTTTCCCTCGTTTGTTCCTCCCGAGTTCGGCTTAGTCTGTGCATGATTACTGAGCCTAGGATTTTAGAGACTATGTTCGTCAGGCTGATTCCTCTATGATTATCACATGAGGACTTGTCTCCCTTCTTGAATATTGGTATAATAAGTGACTTACCCCAATCTGATGGAACCGTCTCTGATTCCCAGACGTTACCTAGTACCTTAGTTAAACTATATACTAGTTTGTCACCCCCATATTTAAACACCTCCGGAATAATTCCGTCGGGTCCTGCCGCTTCGCCTCGTCTCAGATTACAGATAGCTTTTGTGACCCCACTCACACACGACGGGCCAGTGTCTATATCCCATTCGGGTGTGTGCTGGATGGCGGGGAGCTCAGTGTGGCTGTAGGCAAGTTAAATTGTTCCTCAAAGTGTTCCTCAAAGAGAAGCGATAAAGCCTGTAGTCAAATATGAAACTGTCAGGCAATTCAGCACTAATGTGCTTCATCACCTCACTGAGTTAACATACCTGAAAATATAATATCATGAAAAATCCGCATTACAGTTTCAAACCTAGTGCCTCTGCCTAACTCATGGTCCTATGTTGCATTTGCGGCATTATTTCGAGAACAATAACACACTGACTCAAATATTTACATAATATCATTTCATGTGGACACAATGGGTGGATAATTACAGCATACCAAATGTCTTCAAACTTATTTACCTGGAGTATCAAATTCTGGAATGATCCTGACTCCACGGAGACGAGCGTATTCCAATAAATCCGACACTTCTATTTCATCATATGTACACTTTTGTGGATGATATGCACCCTGTTGATATTGAGACGAGTATCAGAATTAATAAACAGCCGAAGATTGTCTCAGCATACCTTGTCTGACAGTTCTGGATAGGTGGTTGAGACAAAGGGAAACGATTCGTCATCAGTGATGTGCCAATGAAATACATTCATTTTAACCATAGCCATGATATCCTGAAAACAGAAAACACCATGCCGAATATCACATCTCCTACTATTGTCTTCCGAATAGTTTCAACTGGAATGAAATTACTTCCAGTATCTAAGAGTATTCCACGATGTAAGAATAATGGTTCATCTTCCACAGAACCCTTAAATATCATATTCTAGATGAAATATATTGATGAAGTCAAGTTATCAACAAGAAAGAGAACGCACTCCTCCAAATTCATCTTTGTACACCATCTGAAGTACAGATTCAAGGGCACGTAGTGCACCCCAAACCTCTTTGGAACTTATCGAGATTTCTGTATCTTCAATGTTCACGTTATCTGCAAAGTGGTGAATGAAATACTTCTTGTGTCGTGTGTGACTCACATGATTCGTTCATGATATGACTCGGCCACAGTTTATCTGCATTTTCGTCACATCCATCCATGATTTCAATTTTCAGTTTGTTTATGCTACATTGCTCTTTGCTTTCCTGAGGAATTGGCGGGTGCTGTGTTGCTAGACGGAAATGAAATCTTGTTAGTGCGTCTATGAGTATAAAGCATGTTGGGTAGTTGTGTTCGTAGGTGAGCGTGTGCACCAGGTTGCAGGCTGTTGAAGCTTTGTTGTAAACTGTTGGTTTTGGGACTATAGCGAGAGTGCGCTGACTTGCATTATTGAGGAGCAACACAACCACGAACAACGCAGAATAACAGATCATGATTACGTTTTGTTTCTCAGCAGTGTATTTCTCACTCAAATCTCATCAAGCTTTATTTTAATTGTGAATTGGATTTTGAACTCATTGGACATGTGATGAAAAAAATATCATCCAACCAAATCAGCGTATCACCTAATGGTTTGTTTGTGGGTTGTGTTTTACTGGAATTTAGACAATTATAATGATTTTTGTAAATAATTTTTGGGAAATACAAACGTTACGAAGATTGAACGTGAGTCAGTGAGTGTTTTCATATAAAGTGGAAATTTAACACTTAGGATATTCGTGTTCTGTATATAAGTATCAGACATTTGCCATCCAACTTCCACGGAATCACATTATTTCAGCGAACTATGGAGTAACTGTAGAAAGTATTTGCTTTCTAGTAAAGGCTAGTCTTGTTGTATCTTTCACTGAACCAGAATGCAGATAGAGCCTAAAGTGCATGAGTTAAATTATCACAGGACAAACTTCTGCTCGACTCGAAGGTGATTAAGGTTTTTGCAGTTTTATTTTGGTCTGTTTTCCCGACCAGGCTTGGACGCTATTTTACACTTTTCTTCGATCTGATATCATATACGACCCCAGATATCATAGTTCGACCACAATGGTTAGGCAAGTTCCTGAAAGCTTCTCTCGACGTTATTGTGACGTTGAGGCTTCTAAACATATGGTTACACAGAACGCTTTGTATAAAATGAAGACTTTTTTGATTCAACTGCTGTCACCAGCAGGTGGATGTTTCGTAAAGTACAGATTAAGTTGTAACATTAGTACATTCCATCTAGTGAGGTTTGTATAGTGTGAAATGTCAACCACACAACCTATCATATACAACTGGCGAATACGTGCCATATCTGCAGTTCGGTTTACCCAAACTTTCAGTAATTTATTGCTTGAAGCTTGCTGTGCTTTCACATGGCAGATTGTTCCCATATTCTTATATGTGTTAGTGCTTCGATAATTTTATAATTGTGAAATTTTAATGTACTTTTTCATCATGACTTACCACACTGAATACCGAAATCGACTTTGTTGTACAGGTTGTAGTTACCACAACGCCTTCTGGACACACCGACCACTCTCAGGGTTCACTCATGCGTAAATGTGTTTCACACTTTGTCATATCCACTAACTTGAAATTAAGTCTAACTATGTTATTTTGAGGCTTCTTGAAAATATTATGGAGGATAAGTGTGAGATCACTTCCGACCCATCTTCAAAACTCTTCAAATCTTCTGCGATAAAAAGAGTTGTACCTACAGGATCAGTGGTAGGTGAAAGAATTCTCCCGAGACGCACATTAAAGGGATATCACTCTTACACAAATACCTTATTAGATGTAACAGCTAGTTACTGATATAAAAATTGACGATCCATTCAGAGGGCATGGGAATCCTGTCAATCTGTCAAAATCCACTTTATTGAAAATGAGAGAGAAAGACAACAGAACTTTAGAGTCTGTTAAGGCTAAAACGAGCAATTTGACTACATTATTTAGTAGTTATTTCTGTGAGAAGGATATCTGTCCCCTCTTAACTGATGATTCGTCGAGTTTTGACTCGCCCATGTAAATAAAATTTATCAGATGCGCAGTGTCATAAAGGAGACCAGAACAAAAAATTTGTCGAATGATTCCACATTTATCTGTTGTAGCACACACCTCTGACTTATTGGGAATATGCCATCGTGTTAAAGGAACTCCCAATATAGTGATGCTCTTAGATCGAATATGTTGTGCTGCTCCTACCAAAAAATACACTCATCCTTGCATTTGGGACACCATTCAGGATACATGTGGGTAGGCATATAGTGATGACTAACGTCACTTGAGGATTGGAACAGAGACTTTTGTAATCCCACATGGAGTGGAAGAGCATTCTCAGCCAGTATCTTAATGTTCGGGCGAAATTTTCACTTTGAAATTTTCCGTAATTGCGTTACACAGTTCGTTCATTGTTTAAGTCCGGAATTACGTTTATAGTGTGTATAGTACCAAATGGACTTTCAGAACTGACTCTGAGAATAACCACTCTGCTATTTGCACACTGAGAGGATTCATGGCAGGCTGGTACCACCCTTCCATTCGGGAGTTGGAGTTATGTTTAGGTGGGCTCAGTTTTCAATGTCCTTGTTAAAAGTAGGGTAATGCAAAGCCTTTACTTGTGTTCAACTCCTGGGGGTCGAAGTTATCACTGCAGTGGGCAGAATGAAATCCGCTTACGTATATTATTTGTTTAATAGATATATCATCCAGTGAAACAGTATCATTTATTAGACGAAAATGTATCGAACGCAATTTATTGTTATAATAAAGGTTTTTGTATTTCTCAATGAATGAAAAACACAACGATATTGCTGTTTTTACTAACGTTTCACCAATTATTGCCGTTAATAGCTTTATCAAAGTGTTATTATTAAACTAGAATTAACAGAATCTTAGTACGTGTGGTCGAACCTCCTCTACAACAGTTCACCAATGAAGAATCACAATTTGTACGCTAAAAGGATATCACACATAAAAATGACACAACGAAACATACCATCTAATCTCACCAAACTAGAATATGAAGACCCAAGAAACTTGAAGAATGACAAAACCATCATTGTAATTAAAGCAGACAAGGGAAACGTCGCTGTGATAATGAACAGGACTGATTAGGAAAAGAAAGCAACTGAACACCTATCTGAAGGAACATACTTACTCACTGAAGAAAGGAAGATATCTGTGGAATTCAACAAAATGAAACTAAATACAAACAGACTCCTTCAAGAAGTGAAAACCAAAATTGGAAATTCTCTCTGGTTTAAACTGAAACCGAAATCGTATGTACCTTCAAGATTCGACGGTCAACCAAAGATACATGAACCCATAGTTCCATTAAGACCAGTAGTAGATTTCACCAACTTACCGCCATACGGCCTCTCCAAATACTTATTTTCGATACTACAACCACTACAAAAAGCCACTCAAAATATTGCAGAATGTTCATATGATTTCAAATCCCAAGTAGAACATCGAGAAATTGATAAAGAAGATATTATGGTAAGCTGTGATATTAACTCATTATATACCAGTATCCCTATTACCAAAGTCATGATATTATTTCCAGTCTACTAGAATCAGATACAGCGCTATCACAAAGGTGTCTACTGGACACCAGTGAAATAATTAAGAGCTTAAAATTCTGTCTAGAAAGTAATTACTTTACATTTAAGGGGAATTTATATAGAAAAACAACTGATGGTGCTATAGGTTCACCAGTTTCCCCAATAGTCACTGTCCTATCGATGAACTGATTAAAAGATAACATCTTTTCGAGCATACTCAGTTCTAAAATATGGTTGTGATACGTAATTGATACTTTTATAGTGCTAAACCGAGATCTACACAGTTGATTCTTGGAGAAAATAAGCTGTGTATCTCCCAGAATCCAGTTTGCTTCGGAAGCAGAATCAGATGTTGTTGAACTACCATTTCTAGACTGCCTAGTTAAGAGGAGGAAAAACGGACAATTTTGTATATCTGTATTCAGAAAGGAAACCCACTCTAACAAATATTTAGACTTCGGATCATCACACCTCATCAGCGCAGAGATTTCAGTTGTTTCAAGTATTCTTAGACAAGCCTTCTCTGATAACGGGTGGGAAAGAAAAGGAAGTAGAAATATCAAACATTATTGAGACTCTCAAACGAAAAAGCTACCCCAACAACTTCAACAAAATCAACACTGACACTAAGTTTGGTCCAAAAAGGTGTTCCGAAAACATGGAGCTAGGCAGTTGTCATTCTGTATAGAGCGTAGACGTCAGTTAATATCAGTAAAGTACTCGATAAGCTTGGCATCAGAGTTTTCAAAATATCAGACACTGCGAAACAACTTTTATAAAATTATATTTGTAAAATCTCAGCGAAATTGAAATGATTAATTCCAACGTTTCGTTCGGCAATCTGGTCCGAACTTCTTCAGGGAAATTAATCGAATTAAAATAAACAGGTTTATATATAAAAGGGACAACTCATGTTTTTTAAAATTTTGTCCAATCATGAGTCATGCAACAGTCATCAACATGTATAATAAATAAATAAATAAAATAGTATGTTTATATATAAAAGTACATCTCTTTTAAATTGTTTGTCCAGTCATGTGAATCAATAAACAGCTATCAATAGGTATAGTAAACAAAACAAAACAAAATCTTTAATATGAACTGTGATCAAAATTTGACCTCAGACTTTCAAAATTAGTCTACTTTTGTTAAAATATATGTGTATATGTGTTATGCAGTATCAATGGTGTGTGTGTGTGTGCATGTGTGTATGTGTGTGGTTGAACAGTCATAAAACATTTGTTATTCTCATATGAGCTG